AAGGCATACAAAGGACTGGGGGTGAGGAGAGAGCACACAAAGTGCTGAGGGGAGAGAAGATGAACACAGAGGGATTGGGGGGACAAAGAGACACACAGAGGAGATTGAGGGGGACAAAGAGACACACAGATGGCCTGGGGGAGAAAAGAGACACACAGAGGGCTGAGAGGGAGGGGAGGAAGAGGCACACAGAGAGCTGAGGGGAAGATGCACATAGAAGAGCTGGTGGAGACAAAGAAACAAATAAAGGGGCAGGGGGAGAAAAAGACAAAAAGAAGCTGAGGAAGAGACACACAGGAGGTGTTTGGGATGGGGACAAAGAGACACACAGAGGGACTGGAGGGGACAAAGAAACACACAGAGGAGCTGGGGGGAATAGACACACAGAGGGGCTTGAGAGGACAAATAGACACACAGATGGCCTGGGGGAGAAAAAAACACAGAGGGCTGAGGGGGAGGGAAGGAAGAGGCACACAGAGGGCTGGGGGGAAGATGCACATAGAAGGGCTGGTGGAGACAAAGAAACACACAGAAGAGCTGAGGGGACGAAGAGACACAAACAGGGGCTTGGGGAGAAGAGACGAACACAAAGGGGCTGGAGAAGAAACACACAATGGAGCTGGAAGAAGAAAGAGACACACAAAGTTGACAAGTTTTGTTTTTGGATGGGGGAGCTGGTTTTGCCTAGGGCGGAAAATAGTCTTGCACCGGCCCTGACTTCAAGCACTATAACTACTTTAATGAGATTATGTAATTACAGTGCCTACAGTATCCCTTTAATGTATGTGGGCATTATCCCAACATAGATTGTTTTGGAATTAGGCCACTTTTTTATGAACAATATAAATAAAGCATTAAATGAACATGTCAAGTGTCATCACCACTACAATACGCAGTAGTGGTTATGCTGCCAGGAAAAAGCTGGCAACCCACCATTGTAAGTAGTCAAACTGTTATAAAACAGTTTGACTTCTTATGCTGGTCCCAACCTCCTCTCAGCAGCCAGTTGCTCTCCTGAACTTAGCCACCACATTGAGAGCATCAGCTGAACTTTCACAGCCAATGTACACTTAGTATAGTTTGTTATGGTGGTCAGTCTAAAATTTCATAACTCCCAAGTGTCTTTATTTAGGAGGCTCAGTCCCTATTTTGGGCCCAAATCCCTCTGTCCTAATGCCACTCTTTTAGGAGCTCCATATTGTTGGTGTGTCTAATGCTGTGTATAATGGAGCTCCATAGCAATAATACTCACAGTAATGTGTCTATAAACTACAATAAATGTGTTTAGAAATCAGTCTGTGTGAATAGGATAAATTGCTCATGTTCTTAATTAGATTTTTGTTGCATAAATAATTATTAGTAAGTTCCCCTTTCTCAATGTGAAATGTTGGGAGGTATTATTATTATTATTATTGGTATTTATATGGCGCCAACTATTCCGCAGCGCTTAACAAAAATATAAATGAAGGGAGAAATTTAACAATAAATGAGACAATTACAAACTGTTACAGGAACAATAGGTTGATGAGGACCCTGCTCAAACAAGCTTACAGTCAAGTAATATTGAATTGTATAAATAAAAATTGTTTCTATGGAAAAAGTCTGTACATAAATTTATTGTTCTATCATGTGTTTATGTACCAATCATGCATCCTATATTTATGTTAATATATGTATATTGTTATTTTAAAAAATACACAAGATAAGGGAGGGGTTAAAGAGGATTTCTGTGTTGAATGTTTAGGAACAAGTGAGTCCTTTACAACAAAACTTACAGGGGGAAAAAAGTGAAAATGAAATTAAACCCATTAGACACTAAGTGTCAGAGTGTACAACTGAGTTTATAGGTTACAGAGTAACCCAGCATTCCACGGTAGATTTCATATACAAATATAATGCACACATGCCACAGGGAGTAGAACTGTTTATCTTAGAAGCAGTTTAAACACAGCATTGAGTCACATGTAGTGACAAGATCCAGGTCTCTCTCTGCATCCTAGAATTAACTGTTTGCTCTGTTCTTGTTGGACCATGGCTGGGAGCTTTGCACAATAACAAAAGATTCAACAGACTGACAAAAGAGTCAACTTGCTATTCTTTAAAACCTGGATTCACCATGAAATGCTCCAATCCAGCACAGGGTGGCAGTGGCATGGGTGCTACATGGGGGAGGAGTAGGTGTCAGATAACAGTTGGATCAGGTCTCCAGAGCTCCTGGTGGAGATGAGAGAGAGATGGGGAGTTAGGAGGAGGAGATGATGATGATGACAAAAGGTTCTCAGCCTCGCTTTAGGAGAGTTCAGCCTGCCCCCTTCCCTTTCTCCTGTGCCGCTGTGGAAGATTAGTTGGATCCCATAGGAGGGGCCAAGGCAGCTTTTTCTGTCTGTAACCCAGAGTCCCAACAAGCCTGTGCAAGGAGCCCTCCACCCTGGGGTGCTGTGCCTCACCAAAGGATGACAGTGTGTTTACAGGTCTCTCTATGATCCCACCTAGAGAGAGGGGCAGACAGGTAACTCACCAGCCCACTGTTATTATAATGGTATACGATGCTGCCGTCTCACTTCCCCCCAGGGTGTGTGTTTTTATAATGCTGGTTGTTTTACATTGTGTCTACCTATATCAGTCGGTTTCACAGCCCCCCAGACTGTTCTGTATCATTCCCCCAAATATCCAGGTGATAAATGCCCTGTTTCGCCCTCCCCTGTGTTACAGGATGCTGTGTGTTTTTGCTGTGAAGCACAATACCTGTTGATGATCTTTAATTTCTGTAAACTGAGCAATTCTCCTTTTAGTATTTAGAATGCTTATTAACTCGTGGATGGTGCAATCATTCCAGTAATGGTTACTTGAAATAACTGTTTATATGTGTATTAACCCTTGGTGGGCTACAATGTGTGATCAGACATAATTTAGTCAAATGGCTTCATCATAGTAAATATGAAATATCAATAATTACCTTGATATCATTTTTAATTTGAACTTTAAATTAGATATATTAATTGTCTTTCCTTTCTGGCAATGAAAGAGTTACTGTTGTTACTTTTGGGTTGCTGTATTGCTGATACTCAGTAATTGTTTTTTATACTTTTTTTTTTTGTAATGATCCTGAAATATTATGTGTATTAGAGATGTATTGTAATTTTAGTTTTTTTTTTGTAGTTAGTTAACAATCACACTAAGCATGGACCAATTGTAATGAAAGTTTAATCATTGCCGTTTTTAAATCACAGCTTGTTCCTGTCTGCTGCTTGGCTGAGCAGTTTGAAAGCCAAGGGGTTAATTGTGGTGATTGCTAAATGGATTTATAAGATAATGGCACATTATTCTGATAAAGTATGCTGCTTGCTGAAGTAACCTTTTATATTAACTAATGGAATGAAAGATTTTCTTTAACATTTTCTTTGATGTTGTGGAAGTTAATCAATTGTAAGACTGGATGGAAATAAAACATTTAAATTAGGAAAAAGAAAACAGTAATGCAGCTTTTAATGTTGGTAGGGGGTGAATAGAAAAACCATTGTAGGATTTATTTTATATACAATTTTTTTTTTAAATTCATTTATAAGCTGCATAAATATTAACTTTGGGGGAGAAGTTGCTATTCAATCAGAGTAAAACATAAACATGTTTAACATAAAATTTGGGTACTTGTTAGGAATTAAATTTTATGGTGAATGGGGGGAGAGAGAGAGAGAGTGTGTGTGTGTGTCTATAATGTTACATATGGTTTTAAAAATAGTGTGGTAAAAGAGGCTTCTGTATGTGAAAGGTTACTTTAGAACACAGCCATAGTTTTCAAACCATTATTTTGCAGTGTGGTGTGTGTGTTTGTGTTTTTAATATTTTATTTTAATTTATTTTGTAGTCGTGAGGACCAGCAAGGGATTGGTGGACCCAGTAATCGTGGTTGGGCAGTAAGATTTTTGCCACCAGTGTATACAAAGAGTAGGAAAGGAAGTGTTTTGTATAAGAAAATCCTACTAGTAATCTATCTGGTTTAACCTTTCAAATTACAGTAATTATATTTTTGCTAATAACACACTGAAGTGCAGATTTTCTCGCAAACACTGGACAATCCTGCTGATAGAATCAAGGCACTGCCACCTGTGGGTTTTAGGTTCCTGTAAAACCACAAACCAAATGATAAAGTTAATGTAAATGCATTTAACCAAGGGGAACCCTAAGAAGTCCCCCCCCCTCCTCCCCCCCGATTGTATCATTGCTGAGTCCTGATTGATCTGTTTTAAACCACTGCATTGTCTGTTCTACTTTAAAGGCCACCAATCTGTACGGTTCAGGGAAGAACCAAATGGAACGGAGATACTTTAAGAGAAAAGTACCCCGAATTGTTGACCACGTGCAAAAATATCATAAAAGCAAATGGAGTATGATGTGTTTCACTTTGGAACATGATTGTTTATTTTTTTCGTTATTTGATTTTCAGGTTACTGCAATACAGTGTTTAGAGAATAACCCTCACCGAAAGAACATTTATGGGGAAAAAGACAATTCAAGTCTTGTTCTTCTCTATGATATGAGAAATGAAAGCATGCACACCCTAAGCTCTATACAGCTACAGTTTATTGCCATTGGGTGCAGTTCTTCTCAATGGTTTGATAAAGCCAGGCTGTTACTGTACATAAAGCTTTGCTTCCATGGATATTAATACGGTGAAACTTCCGCATTATTCATACAAATCTGGCCACATCTGGTTTGCAGTGATGGGATGAGAGAGCTAACGTTGACTGATCAGATGTGCTTGCTGGACTAGCCCTGTTTTTTGCCAAACTTCTTAAACGCTTTGACGAAAACCAGTGGAGCTGCAGCGACAGACTCCTTGTACCACAGTTACTTAGAGTGTGTGTGTGTGTGCTTGTCATTAAAAAATTCTGTTAGTCCAATAAAAAAGGTATTACAAGATAAGAATTTTATCTGTTTTTTACATCTATATATATATAGCATCCAAGTAGAGAGCACTCTGGAGTCTTTGTTTTATATCAAAATAAATACTGCTTTATTGTGCAGAATACAAAAAATGTCGACGTTTCAGTCACAATAGACTTTTCTCAAGACTTGTCTTGAGAAAAGTCTATTGTGACTGAAACGTCGACATTTTTGTATTCTGCACAATAAAGCAGTATTTATTTTGATATAAAACGAAGACTCCAGAGTGCTCTCTACTTGGATGCTATATATTGGTCAGAGATTACTTGCACCGGAGCATGGAAAAGACCGGGAACATTGAGTGCTGGGACCTGGGAAAATATATATATATATATATATATATATATATATATATATATATATATATATATATATATATTTTATTGGAAAGCACTGGTAGGCTATTGTGCATGCGCGGTGAAACGCCGCACTGCAACTCCTCTTAGAGATGCATTGAATAAATGCATCTCTATGGGGAATATTCAGCACCTCCATGCACAGCGTGGAGAAGCTGAGCGTCCGTTCTGCACAATGTACAGCACTGACCCAGGAAGCATCTCTAGTGGCCGTCTGAGTGACTGGTGTTCCTTGACCGTAATATAAATGTTTACAGTACAAAGCCTGCAGGGACAAGCTAATGACACCAGAACCACTACATTTAAGCTTTAGTGATCCTGGTGACTATAGTGTACTTTTAAATGAGTAAACTCCCATAGTGTTTGTGTGGTTTTTTTTTGTTTGTTTGTTTTTTTTCTCCCCCTCTCACTTCAATATTTTTGACTTGACAGCCTCTAGAGGCAGTCTTAGTCCTGCACTGTAATTATTTCAGTATCTAAAAAACTGCAGTGATTTACGTTGCAGGACTACATGGGACTGGGACACTGCACCCATACAACTTCAGTGAGATGAAGTGGTTTTGGGTTACTATAGTGTATCCTTAATGAACCAATTTCACTGATATTAGACACCATGAATGCTTAACGTATGGAGATTTATTTGACTAGGTACGGAAGATGACCGCTTTTAAATGACCCCTTCGCAAAGTCAAGCTCTTCTGATTGCATTGCTTATAACATTAGTTAATGTTTTGAAGCTCTTGAATTTCACCCCGCACCAGATGGTACATTTTGTTAGGGTACAATGGCCGCTGAGGAATTATCTGTGGATCTTCTGTACCCCAGAAATGAGTTTTGCTTATTAACAAAGCCAAATAAATGAAAATGACATTCGTCAGACAGGATGAGTTGATGAATAAATTCATTATTTTCTCTCGCTCATTGTTCTTTTGTGACCTTCATAAGTTATTCACCTGTCAAGTCCTACTCTGGGTTTTACCCCCCCCCCCGTATTAGTAGACTGTCAGTTTCAGGATCCCACAAAGTAGACTGTGTTATGTGTGGATTTGAAGAGCTGTGTGTGAGGTGCCTACACATGCTTTAGTGGCACACCCATCTTGTATTGTGTATTTTGTTCTTCTTTTTCCTCCCTCTTTAAATTGGAGCAGAAATTTATATTTCTTTGTTTACCTCTGTTTCCTGTAAAGCATTATGTTCCCTTAAAGATAGACATCATTGGTGCGATTGTTGTTCTTAGACTTAACTCCCGTCATCCTTTGCCATTTAGCGGTCAAGTCACCACAATTATAGCTGTAGCCCAACACCGTCATTGGAGGACCAAAGTTTGCTAGTCATTGTCTCAAATATTTTCTCTATTTTTTAAAATGTCTTTTCTTTCTTTTTTGAATTAAATTCCACGCATCCGCCACACTTTTACTTTAAAGTATTTCCTTTTTTTTTTTTTTTTTTTTTAGTCCCCTAAATTTAGAGCGGGATGTAGTTGTATTTTTTTTTTTCCCTAGCCTCTGTCTGTGAAAGATTTATCCCAACTGTACTTTTGTTAAATCCTTAAATATATATGTTTATGCACACACATTCCTATGTGCGGAATGGTTTGGGCTGTGTTGCTGGCTGTGTGCCTGAATCACAGTGATTTCTTACTGCCAAGTCCTTCTTTTCAATTCACTTCATTTAGTGAGGAAAGAAAGGTATCATGGGGTTAAAAGACAAAGGCTGTATATGGGGGTAGAAAAGCAAGTGAGCAAATCAAACAGAGAAACAAAAACTACAAGGGGGGAGTGGGGGGAGGAGGAGAGCACGAAGACAATTAATGGAGCCACATTTTCCCATAATGCCTCTGTTTATAATAATTTGAAGTGGAATTTTGGAGAATTTAGACTTATTGTATAGAGCCTCTTTCTTAAGCTGATGAGTGGACTCCATTTAAATCTCCATTTTGGCTCATTACAACCCACCCCTCCCCCTCCCAAGGGCTTCATCACATGGGTCGTTTGGACACCAAATGGCCATCAAGGAGAATAAGCCATACTATGGTTTATGATTAGCAGACGCAATTTAAGATCACATGTATTTTTATTTTTATTTTAGCTTTTAAATAGACAAACGCATTGGATTTTTACTTTTGCTTAACTATTGTTTAAGCCAGCTTTCTTTTCTATTCTCGCGCACTCTCTCTCCCCTCCCTTACCTTCCCCCCCCCCCAACCTTATTTAGGTAACATTTATTGTATAACTACTCCCTTATCAAGAGTATTATTACATGGATTAATGAAAATGCAGTTTCATGTACACTGATAATATAATCAAAGAAGGTAAACACTGGAAGTTTGTCATGAATTGGCAAATAAGATAAAACTTGGTTGGTAGTTCAGCCAGTAGGGGTAAAATTGGTGGGTCGAGGAATAATGAGACTTTCAAAGTAAGAACAGGAGAAAGCTAGGAGTGAGGGTCTGGGTTATGTTAAGTTATGGAATTGAGGGGGCAAATGGCAAAAAATATAACACTCTGCAAACCGTAACCAGTACATCACTCTGTAGTGGTTATGGTGCCAGGAGTGGCCTGGCACAACCCTAATTTAGTCAAACAGGGTTTAACCTGTTAAACAATGTTTTAACTTCTTAAGTGAGGACTACTAATTGCCAATCCCCATCTCCACAGACAGAAGCTGTTTGAGTGGCTGAGGTCTTGACTCATTGGCTGAGGGCAGCCACCTGATGTTCTTAGCCAGTAAGCTAGCCCAGCACTGCAGGACTTGGCTCAAGAGAGCTAACCGAAACATGGGGGTGGCAAGGGGAAGGGGCGAGGGCTGTGCTGTCCAGTCCTTGTGATATTCTAGGTCATAGCGTCCTATTGCCGTGTGGTTCACGAGCCTGGGTACCTGAGTGTCTGTGAGTTAGTCTCACAGTGAAAGGCATTATAAAAATTAAATTAACTTCTGTGGATTTCTCTTTCGTTGGGGTGAGGGCAGTGTGGGTTAATAGTCTGACTTGGTCAGAACTTGGGTTTTGCCAGTAAGTTAGTGTTCACGGTCCGCTTGTTCCATGAGGGGAGGCGGTCATGTTTTCTCTGTGGCGTTTTGGAGCCTGGTTCGGCAAACCAAGGGTTTTCAGGTAGTTGGAGGCTTCATCAGGTGATGTGAGGACTTGTGTTGTCCCTGCATAGGTAACTTCCATGGAGCCCCCTGCTCCATACCTGTATGCTATACCTGCAGCGCGTAACTGTGTGGCAGTTGGGCCAGATGACTTGCGCCACAGGAGTGTGGCTCTAGATAGGTTCTGGTAGAACGTAAGCTCTGATTCTTCAAAGGGCAGTGGTGTGCGATCTTTAAGCGCCGCCATGATATGGAGCTTCTCCTGTACTGTTACGCATCTTAAGATGATGTCTCGGGTTGCTGGTGATTTCAGGTGTGTAGGTTGGGAGCCGATAGACTCCATCTATGGCGTGCTTTTTTTTTTTTTTTTTTGTGAGTGAGCCGGTGTTTCAATAGGTGAGGGGGGTATTGGGTGCTCCCCTCTCTCTGTCCGTGGTCAGTACAGGAATTCCTCTAGGTCCCGAATCGCTGGCGTGAAGTAGGCCCCGGTTTTGCGTTTCCGCTTCGGGAGCTTGTGCGGTTGAAAAAAAACTGCATCTATCGGTGCCTCTTGCTGTACTGGTCCCGTCTCTGTGGGTGGAAAGGCTGGATTGGTGCCTGTTTCGGGGATTTTGCCCAGATTGAGGTGTTTTAGTTGGGAGATAGTAGTAGAAATGGCGTCTGGTGCCATGCGATGGCAAGCTCCGCCAATATATATGCTTTTTTTTATGTATACATCCTTCTACTGTAATTTAAAAATTAAAATAAAATCAGCATTGGATTCCCCACTGGACAATGTGTATTTGTGAAGGCAGGACCGCCGTAGTTACTGATTTATAGTGGGCAGTTGCCTAGGGCCTAAATGAATATAGTGCATCTTTTTCCATCACTGGGGACCCCTGAAGTAGCATGAGAGCAAAATGGTGGTTTCTATTGTAGAGCTTAAGAACCACTGCTTTTATCAAAATATTTAATAACTCACAAACTGCAGCTGGTAGAAAAACATGTGGTAAATGTAATGCACATGTAGCAGTGTTTATACCAAGTCTAGCATAAAGTGTTCCTTACAGGCTTAAATACAACTACATATGCCTTGCATTACTATTTCCTCTTGGGATGGTGTGATTTTTATATTGATACTGTAAAGTGCAACTTTTTTATTTTTACTGCTCTTCATCTTCTTTCGCTTTTCTAATATGAAGACTTAGCGGAACTGTATCGCTGCCGAGTACTCAAACAACCATTAATACCTCAATAGTAATGCTTACCAATAAATGTAAATTGACATATAATCTGGTGGCTTTCTTTGCATGAACATTGGCTGTAAAGCCAAAAACTTGTGATTCTGGAACATAATTGCTCTTTACACATCACCCACAGGGTCCTTTCTCTATAGCAGTGTTTGATTTGCAGACATGGTCAATATGTCTTGGTTATTGCTGGCCCAGTGGTCTCACATTGCAAGCCAATAATATGTATGCCACGTTTAAAATTACAGTTTACAATCTGGTTACATATGTTGATTGCTCAGCGCGGAACTTTGCTGTGCGTGCGCATTAGCCTCATTGCTGAGATCGTCCATTTTGATGAGCTCAGCCAATGGGGTGGACCTGGAATAAAGGGTTGTTGTTGTTTGTATATATGTATGTGTATATATTAAAAGGCTTGGCCTGTAGTTGTGGGAGGGGCTTGGTTTCCCTTTAAAAGGGCTGCCAATCCACTCCCACATTACCGTAATGGTCTGGCGAGTCTGAAACGTTACTTCCGGTTCAGACC